CCTGTTTTTTACCGCCAGCATGCCAAATTGAGCTCCGTATCGAAGTAATAAATGCCAGGAGTACTGCAACACAAACTAGAATAATCGATCTGAATTTTCAATAGAGTTAAGGTTTAATACTGCTCTTACTATAACTGTTAATAAGTAACTTTACAACTGTGCCACATTTCCCATGTCATTAACTGTTTTCGCCGGAAACTTGGAGTCTTAATTTTCTTATTAGATCGCACAACAGCAGCTGATAATGCTTTGAGTTGCAAAGACTTTTTGTCCCTTCCTACGTTCTCTAAAAACAAGTGAATTAAAATAAAGAAATAGCTCACCGGGCAGCTAGGCAACCAAAGGTTTCATTTCAGCATCCAGGAAAGCTGGGAGGCTGAAATTTTGGGTATATGTTCCTGCCTCGTGTATCATCCTCCGGTTTTAAGATCTCCCTCCACACGCGCCTTGATCCCGCGTACGGATCCCCGAGAAAATATGCATATTTTTTCGGCGGGGAACGATTTTGCGAACCAGGCAAGGTATAAAGCCGAAAATTTGCAGGTATATTCTCTGTGCATGTATGAACTAGAGGTTTCAAATTCAGCCTTGAGCGTTCGTTGTTCTCACATATGGACATATGGAAATCTTGGCGGGAAAACTGATAACTCGGGGACCAGAAAAGCTAGAAAGTAGGAGCTTTAGAGGAAAGTTTTCTGTCCAGATACAATTTAAATATTTTAAATTTGCCTTCCAGGTATCCATGGTCTTCACATGTGGGTACTTAAAGGTTTTGGCGGGAAAATTGCTCATTAAACGGCTAGGTCACTTTCAAAGAACAGTCATTAAAGGAAAATTGATTTGCTCTATGCAAAATTTGTGGTGATTTACGCTAGTGAGCGGAAAGTGTAGGTGTAAGGGCAATAAACATTCATGCAGTTAACGAACTGAGCACTTCAAGTTTGGTGCAACAACGTTTGATAGCACCGACAAGCCTTGTGCATTCCAGCATGGGTTGCATTTGCATAACACAAAAGCGCATACTGAGTCTGACGAAATGTGTGTTTCTGCATACTTATATAAATGAAACCCAAGTAGAAACGCACCAGGCTTACCGGTGCGGTCATGCGTTTTTACACCAGACTTGAAGCACTCAGGTCATTAGCTGCATGAATGTTTGCTGCTTTGTACCTATCATTTGCACTCACTAGTATAACTGACCATAAATTTTGCATAAATAAAAAAACAATTACCATTTAACGATAGTTCTTTGAAAATAATCTAGCTGTTCAGTGAGCAGTTATCCCGACAAAAC